AGGCCTCGGTTGCCTTCATCGCTACCCAAGGTTGATTACCCGAGATCTGGGCGCCGAACTTGAGGTCCTTCGTATTGTCGTAATCCTTCACAACCGCACCCGGCTCGGGTGTGTATCGTGGGGATACGGTTTCCGACTCGTGCGCCTTCATAAGTGCCCATTCGCCCTTCTGCCCTTGTACGAGAGGCATTCCCATGGCCATTTCTGAATATGTAATCTGAGCTCCCAATTCGACGCATAGCCGTCGAAAGGGTAGATTACCCTGCGTAGTTAGGGGAGCTAATACCGGAGTTTCCTTCCCGAAGTAAATCTTCCTCTTTTCCGATGGCTTAAGCGGGGGGTCCACGAACTGAGCCCTGAGCTCTTCCCTGCTATCAGCATTTGTATCGTCACCCTCTTGCTTTTTAGCTTGATTGTGTACTTGTCGCATAAGCTCAGTATCCTTTTCTAACCATTTTATATACGGCTCGGACTTCTCGAACTTAACCTTTCTTCTGGCTAGATCCCACTTAGTATCGGTAGATACGACGTTGACCACGCCTGGTCGTTGATCAGGATCTTCGTCAGTTTCCATAGAATCATTATTCTGGAGAAGTACGAGCTCTTTTCGTCCGTCTTCTTGCTCGACTTCCTTAGAGTGGCTCTTCACGAAACGGCACTTCCATCCGGCGGTACACCTACCATACTTCTCAAAAACAGGGCATTTGCCACCGAGAGTATCGAGGTCCTCACGTCGACCCTCCTTGAGATACTTGCGTAGGTCATGAGATAAGTTACACCTTTCGCCAAATTTACAGGGTTTGGGTGAGAATTCGTTGGAGTAGGTAATGCTGTTGCATAGGCGGAATGCGTCTTCGTGATTGCCGAAATTGCGGTTCTGATTTTGGCCGCCTTGCTTTTTCCTGTTCTTTCCCTTCTTACCATGGCCGTCCCGACCGTCCCGAGGGTCAGGTTTGCCATTGATAGAATCATTTGTGGCAATCCCAGCTTCTGCTGCATCATCATCCACGACCTTAGCTCGAGCCTCAGCAGAGATAAGATATCTAGCAAATTTTGTTAGCTCCGGGTAGGGATGTAGATGGGTCTTAAAGGGTCTTAAACTTACTCAGCTTTCACGGGCGCAACACCTCGGGTTCTGTCCTTCGGCTGAGTTTGCCCGTCTTCTTGTTTTGTCTCTTCATGATCAAGCTTTTGTCTCTTAGACGCGGGACCATCAGTCTCGGTATGTGCACTACCATTGGCATCGTGCTTCAGGGACTGGCCTAGGCTACTTGTGATTACGGTAGCCTTGCTATCTTCAACAAGTTGTCCGTCTGCCATTTTGAGTTTGAAGATTTGGCACTGAAATTACAAAGATGTTGCAAGTTTTTGGCTTGATGAATTTTTGTTTCGCGTGTCGAACTTGTACTTTTTATTTTTATTTGTACTAAAGTTGCCTATCCAAGTACATGTACTTTGTACTTCGTACCGAATACGTAGAGCCCCGCGTTCTGATTGGCAACTGCCCCGCTATTGAGAACATGCTTAAAGGTTTGGCTTTTGGATCTTTGAAGAAGAAGAATTATTATTATAGTTACTACTTTGCATTAGCTTATGAGACAAGTATTAAACTATGCTCTTCTTTACGGAACGAATAGTCCATGTCGTTAGTGTTGGAATCGTTATACGATTACTATTAAATCTTATTCGACTTTATTGTTATAGTTGGTTGATACCTATAGTTACTAGTTACCTAACTATAGTTAGTTAACTATAAAAAGTAAGTTATAAGAATCAAGTCTATTTACTTCGTTAAATGGTTCAATTTGAAGTTGACTGGGAACAACTGCGAGTAGATATACTTCTTATATACCTAGCTCAACGCTATACCGATAATTATTAGAGAGCATTGGTAATAGTAGTTTGGCCAATTGTAGTCCTCATTGTATACCCTATCTGCATTGTATAATACAGCAAGCATAAGGTAGTCAACCTCCAAATACCCCAACAAGGATTACCATCCTATCTTCACATGAATGTATATAAACCATATAACCTTCCATGCAAAAGACATATTCTAGAAGGTCAGATGACACGAACACGATGTGCTGCGTTGGCCATCTCCCGCACCAGCCTCGTGTCCGTGCATGTAAAGGTTGGTAAATGATACACTGCAGTCGTGCGGCGAGGAAGGGCGACTAAATATAAGCATAACCTTGTTAGATGCAGCTCCTATATAAATTGACTTTACCAGCTTGGTGGCACCCTATTATTGGCAGTTCACACTCATAATATACAAATACATTACCTAAGGTATACAAATACGTATACGTGGGACGAAAGGCAGGTGCCGTTATCGCTATCACCCCGTTACAGTAGGTGCAGGTACGTATTGTCAGCTATTGTATTGTACAAGCCCCCGGCTGCCCGGCCAAGGCGGGGGGTGGTGGATACGCGGGATTGGCTGAGGCAGCTGAGGTGGTACCCATTTGCTCCAAAAGTTTCCGACTCGTTCAAATCACTTTTTCCTTGCTTCATCTTCTCTTTCTAGAAAAGTGCCCAATTTCATGCAGGGGCTTGAAGAAAGCAAGGGATGCCCGCGTGGCCTTGTCAACAAGAGTTCAACCTTGACCATTTTGTATTAGAACCATTTTTTTTTTCTTAATCTGTCATCATTCTGTGCTCCGGATTTCATACTGGCATCAATACTGGCATCATCTATTTTGACCTTGAATAGGTACCTATAGCTTTCAAACCGTTTCAACCCTTGTTCGGGTTCAGATACGTTCTTCTTTGAAACTGCCCTACCTTAACTTGTTCTACCCCGTAGTTTTAAACCCCATGCCCTAAATCTTTACTCGAGTTTCTCCATGCCCTTGCGCGACTCGCCTACTGACTACCGAGAGACTAAGCTAGGTGGATAGGTTGGGCAATTGACCGTGTGACGTATTTTTAGCAGTTTAGCAGACTACGATTTGGATACCCCCCCTAGCTTTAGCTTCGGACGCGGAACGTAGGCCATGTTATTCGAGAACCATGCCCTCCGCTAACGAAACTATGGCCGATAACCCACGATCGCCCTCAAGCGCCAAGTCGAGGACCATCCGATCCCAAAAGATTGCTCCGTCCTCCGTCGACGGCGACAGTGGAAACGAGGCCCAAGATCGAGCTGCTCCCCCTACCCGAAGCCACACACCAGGCCACCTCTCATCCAAGAGCCAGGGAAGTTCCTCGAGTAAACGCAAGGCATCGGAGCCTTCAATACGTTCACGTTCGCAGTCTGTCTCTAATAAATCCGCCTTTGCCGTGCCACCGCCCCAGTCTGCCCCGACGCCTATCCCCACCCTCACCCTTCGGCGCCATGGTGACTATACTACTCCCGTACCGTCTGATCCGCAGGTCGGATCTTCTAGCCTAGATGATGGACGGCGGCCGGTAGCTATGCGCTCGACATCGGCCATCGCCGGCCGGGCCACGACTACGAGCACGGGGTCGGGAGCCTCGGGTGGTTCTCGCAAGGCGTCCTCCGTTCCACGGCCGCGTGGCCCCTATGTCCCCTTTCCGCCTCTCCAAGATCCTAAGACAGCACCCGATGTGCCCGCTGCACCTTCATCAGGCATGTATTGGTCGCGAGCACCGGTGTCCGGAGCCCCCCACACTCCACTCCGTGCACACACGACTACTTTAATCGGGAGTAACATATACGTCTTTGGGGGTTGCGACTCGCGTGCCTGCTTCAACGAGCTATATGTCCTAGATGCCGACTCGTTCCACTGGAGTAGCCCACATGTGGCGGGCGATATACCTGTTCCCTTGCGCGCCATGACGTGTACAGCTGTCGGTAAGAAACTGGTAGTGTTCGGTGGTGGAGATGGGCCGGCTTATTATAACGACGTGTACGTGCTGGACACGGTTAACTTTCGGTGGCATCGGCCGCGGATAGTAGGGGACCGGACGCCGAGTGCGCGGCGGGCGCATACTGCCTGCCTGTATAAAAACGGCATCTATATGTTTGGCGGTGGAGACGGAATACGTGCTTTGAACGATATATGGCGGCTCGATGTCACAGACGTGCATAAGATGAGCTGGAAGCTAGTATCAAGCCCCTCGTCAAGCAGCTCAAACGGAGCGGCAGTCAAAGATACTAGCCGACCTAAAGCACGGGGTTACCACACAGCGAACATGGTAGGAAGCAAGCTGATCATCTACGGAGGATCAGATGGCGGCGAGTGCTTTAATGACGTATGGGTATATGACGTGGACACGCACGCCTGGAAGGCAGTGCACATCCCTGTGACGTTTAGACGGTTGTCACACACCTCGACGATCGTAGGTTCATATCTATTCATCGTCGGGGGTCACGACGGCAACGAGTATTCCAACGACGTTCTGCTGCTCAATCTAGTCACCATGACTTGGGACAAGCGGAGAGTATACGGCCTCCCCCCCAGCGGCCGCGGATACCATGGTACTGTGCTACATGATAGCCGGCTCGTCGTAATCGGTGGCTTCGACGGCGGCGAGGTTTTCAGCGACGTCTGGATACTCGAGTTAGCCGTACATGCGTATTACTCACAGATAAGCCATTTTACTATCGAAGTCTAGGCCAAACCCGGGTTTACCTTTACCGCTGCGAGTTTAGAGAATTTTAGTTCGGGCTGTTGGCATCTACATAAGGGGCGCTGAAGGTCAGATTTATGCGGCCATGTTCGGTTTATGTATCAACCTTTAATCTAGCGTGGGCTTGGGACTAGATTACATATCATTCTGATAGCGTTGTTCTTTGTCTATGACGGGTCGATTTGGGCCTCTATTTCATTATGTGCCATCATCCATGCAAATATGAGTTATCCACGCAAATGTAGCTATTAGGCACCATTTTCTGAATTGGGATCGGGAGGATAGTATTGCTTTGAGCGTGCCGTTACTGGTCTTGGGTCTTTTGGGGCGCCGGGACACGTAAAATGGGCAAAGGGTGGATTGGTATCTTATACAGTCGGATCAGGTCACAGGATGGTATACAAGTCTAGTACCTTGAAATAATATGGTCTATGTTATATATAATATTAAAACATGATGCATCATCATCGTCTATCAGTCATATCGCCTTCGCCCCCTTAATATGCCAAAAAGAAAAGAAAAAAAGGAAAATATCCATGGCCTCCTTTTTTTTCGTTCCCTTCCTCCTCCACTCCCTCCCTTAAGTCTCTACGTTCGGCGACGACACAACGTAGAGTAAACCACATAGTCGCCTACGCTTGCTCGTCCGCTTTTTGTAATTTGTATGTACATGAAGAGAGAAAGAGACGAGCGAAATGACGAGATTCGCCTAACCCAACCCAACCCAACCCAGCCGCACATGGCCGAAACTCCGGGACTATGATCGATGCAAAGGAAAATATGCAGGTGAATCCATTATCCGGGACGCAACGGAAATGCCTAACCGCTCTACACGCTCGGCAGATATAACACTTTATCCTAGCCTAGCAGTCCGCCCCCATCACGTCTTCTATTATTATCCCTTTCCCCGGCAGTTGAAGAACGCCGCCGCCACCACCCACCAGCCGCCTATCTATTGCGAATTTCCCTTCTGCGTCTTCTGCGCCGCGAGCCGGCGCTCCTCAGCAGCGACCATATCCTTCCACAGGTCCTGGCCCTCGTACTCCTCCTTGTGGACGCGCTTCTCGATCAGGGTCTTGTGCTCGGGGTCGTTGGGGTCGAGGACCTTGATGGTCTCCCAGCGGCCGGTGCCGGAGCGGGCGTCGGAGGTCTCGAAGACGGCGGTGGCGACGAGCACGGCGAGCGTCAGGCCCTGGGCGTACATGCGGGCCTGGACGAGCTTCTGCGAGCTGGAGAGGTACCTGTTGCGGCCGACGACGCCGAGGGCGACGCCCATGGCGGCGACCCAGGAGGCGAAGACGATGGAGTACCGGTTCTCGCGGGCCCAGGCGGACAGGCGCTCCCAGCTGGTCTCCTGCTGGCGGATGAGCTCCTGCGTGCGCTGGGCCTCGTCGACGTAGAAGTTCATGGGGTTGTTGGCCTTGTGGAAGGCGTTGGAGTACCGCTCGGCGTTGACGATGGCGCCGAAGGTGCCGGTGGATGTGACGAGGAAGGCGCGGAAGGGGAGCGTGAGCGATCGGAAGGCTGGGTACCGTCGTGATGCGAGCATGACGCCAGCTAACCCGGCACCGAGACCTAGGGTGCCACCGATGAGACCGCCCTTTAGCACTTGGCTGTAGTGCGCTTTTTCTTCCTCTTTCGAAATAATCTTCATGGCTGCGGTTTTATGATTATATGTACGTGTGCGTAGTGCGGGGTTTTATCGATTCTTTCGACTGCTCCGATACTTCTTTATATCGTAAGTAGTCCGTCCGATGCTTTGGGATGAAGTCTTGTCTCTAGTATTACAAGATCTGTATAACTCTAGGTATGTATGTATGCACGTGGTTATGAGAAATGTGCAAAGTGTGAATAGGCGAGTCTAATGTGTAAGCCACTTGAATATGATTGCTTTGAATATGTGTTATAGGTTATAGGTATCGTGATAATAGCTTGGTATCCTCCAGGTCGGTACGCGGGGTATTATATTTGAGCCTCTTATATTTGAGGATCCGGGGAGTTGGAAATTAGACGGGCAACAAAGATCAATTGAGCAGTTTGCGATTGGCTCCTCTTCGGGATTCAGGCGGTGACTCTTAGTAATAACAATTATAACATAGCACAACGTCAAACTGACGAAGCTGTTCGCAAAGGAGAAAGTCGGGAAAAAAATTACATGATGTAATCCACCGATGGCACGTTCCGGCGCACTCTGGTACCAGTTCTGGTACGAGGTACGATGGAATGTGGTGCAGTGTGGTTCGGCCAAATAAAGCAGAGCCCGAGTTATTCCCGTGCTGTGGCTAATGATTTGTGGCTTACGCAGCAGTTGTTATAAGTCTTACAGGCTAATATGTGCTAAAAAGGCCTAGAAGAGCACTGATGCCACACTTAGACCCTATAAAGACGCCTATCACGAAACTAGCGCCCGCTGTTCGCCGTTTGCTCGCTGTTGGATAAAAAGGGGCTTTCGGGGTTTGGCAATTTAGTTCTCGCATTTAGTGGCCAACTCGGCGTCTTCCGCCAAACTCAGCTGTCCTACATACCTCCGTCGTTATAGAATGCGACAGCCGCCGTCCTGCCGTCTTCAACCTACTTAGCGACAAACCTCCGTAGGGCTGCGGCTGTCGTCGCGGTATTTCAGGTGAACTTCGTCGGCGGTGCGGCGTGTCTTTCGGATTTTCAATTCCGAATAGCAATATAGTTCAATAATTTCTTTTGCGGACTTTGTTGAATAGGCGGATAGGTTGAATTGATGGAGATCGGCGAGCCATCTGGCTTTGTAACGACCTTGGACATTCTTGATGTTTTATTCTTAAGTACAATCTGGATAGAGTAGCCTACTAGATAAAGGCTTTGAAATACTCTCAGTCAAGTTTACCTAACAACCTAGCAGACTAGGAAGAACACAAGGAACGGCGTATCCCAAACATTCGTGGAATCCGGTCTGCGAAGGAGTAGAAACCCGGGGTCTCAGTCAAATCATCGGAGCTTACGCTCCAGTGACTATTTGCCTCCTCAGTCCTGATAGCACAAGTCTATCACGTGCCGTCAATGGTCGTCTTGGCGTCTCTTGTCAGCTCCGTGTCCAATGCTTCCGAACTGTCTTAGCTCAGCCAGGGCTAAGCGGGACAAGCGCAGGGAGATGCCGTTTCATGTGTTGCAACTCACCTGCTGCTGCGGGTGGGTCTGGCAGGTCTGGTAAGGCTCGGTTAAAGCTGACACGAGCCAACAAATTCTGGAAATATTCTAAAGGAGAGGTTGAGTCTATGTTAGCAGCTTAGGTAGGTACTTACCTTGGCCATGCGAGCAGGCGGGATAATGACTTTAGTTCGCAATAACTAATATAGGATCTAAGACCAAAGCGCCACTAGAAGCAGAGTATCGTCGGTCCTTCTTCCGGAAAAGACTGACAATAAGACGTCCGTGTTAAGTACATACATACCTAGTAGGCAACTTGGTAAGGAAGACTTGATCCGATAGATCCCCAGGAGATCCAGATGGCCGTACGAAAACGGGGTTGCTTTAGGACGATCGATCATAATTTCCCCCCCAGACAGCCGGCGCCGTGGCGCGCATGGCCAACTTATGAGAGCCAATCCCACGCGAATCCGCTGAAGCGAGCAGAGTGGCTCTCGCTACTGTGTGTTACCGCGGCTCGGAAATGAAGTCTGACATTTGAGATTTGAGACGACAATACCAAAATATGCTAAGCCGGCACTTCGGCGGCATCTTGTGTAATAGGTTGCCATTAGCCACGAGACCGTCTCTCTGAGCGACAGCTTAAAAAAACATGGTTTCAGGATTTAATTGACGCCGTCCTATCTCTATTCCATCTCTATATAGTTAGCGGGACGATCTCGTTAGTGTAGTGGGAGCTTAGCCCGTCTAGAACGACTGTTGGGTTTCTGGGAAAGCTGGCAATGTGGGAAGTGGAAAGTGGGAATCGTGAGGATCAAGATTGTGTGCGGACTGCAGAGTGGAAGATGCTTCTGTGAGGCTTATTCCGGGGCTGGCGCCTCTGGGCCAGTGGAATTCGAAGTGGCAGAGTGGGAATTAGGAATTAGGAATTACAATAGGTCTCGTTACATACAAGTTTCTAGGATGAGACAGGGTAGCGCGGTGCTAAATGGGGTTATTTAACCTAGTATGGCTAGTAGGTAGCTTTGCATACAAATTTATATATAATAGTACAAAATGTCAATAGAAATAGTTAATAATTAAATAACCACCTACCTTAACGGGAAATATAAAGACCTTATAAGGCTTACGTAGGCCTTATATTTTAAGCAATTTTTATTAAGTTTAAAACCTTATAATAAATTATAAATTTAATACGAGGCATTTAAACCTTATAAATTAAATAAGTTTTATAAGTAATTTATTATAAATACCTTATAAATTATCTTTTAAAACCATTGTAAATAATTTATTAAATTAATTAAAAATAAATGTTTAAATCGCTTATATAATTTATAATTTAATAACGGTTATAAGCGTAATAATATATATAATCGTAAAAAAAAAAAAAAAATAAGTTTAATTATTACATTAATATTTTATTTTTTTTATTATTTAAAGTTATTTATAAGTATTTATTTAATATAAAAAACATGTTAAATTATTAAATTAAATGTAAAATTATTATTATTATATATTATTATTATTACGTAAATATTATATTATTTAATTATAAAAGTAATTAATTAAATTTACGAGATTATATATTACGTAATAAGTTATGTATTTATTATTATAATATATATTTTTCGTTTTTATTATATATATAAAATATTTAATTAAATTATATAATTTTAAAAAAGTTAAAAAATTATAAATGTTATTTATTAATAAAAGTAATAATATAACGATTTTAAATAACTTTAATGGTTTTAAATATTTAAAATGCTTTAAATTTAATGGTTTTAAATAATTATAATAACTTTAAACATTAATATTATTAAAATTTATTATAATAAAATAATAATAATTATAAAAGAAAATAATGTTAAAAATGCTTTATATTTTTATTTAATATATTTTTTTACTTAATTTATATAAAAATATACATCCATTTATAAACTTTATAAAAAAATTAACTTTTATAAAATTATTAACTTTTATATAAAACTTATTATTAAAATTAAACTTATATAAAACATACGTAAAATTTATAAATTCCTTATAATTTCCGTTAAAATATATAATAATTATTTAATTATTATTTCCATTAACGTTTTATACTTTTACATATAAATTTATATGTAAAACTACCTATTAATTATATTAAGTTAAATAACCCCATTTAACACCGCGCTACCCTGTCTTATCTTAGAAACTTATAGTACTTAGTCGTAGTTAATGTAAGTAGTTTAATTAGCGTATATCCCCCTTGTCTCCCCTTGCAAAGACCCGGGGACGAGATAAAAAAGTGGAAACATGCTTGGAAGCATGCTGCATGCTGCTTACCTACTGCGTCCTATGCGTGCCTAAGTGCCCTTTGCGGAAATCTTCCAAAATTCAGGGTCCAAATGCGCTAGTGCACATCATAGAAAAAAGGAAGGCAAAAAAAAAAAAAAAGAGGCAAGCGCTGTTAACACGGAAAATGTACATGCACAATGTACATCTAGATTTAGGTACGTAGGTACCGCACGAGTCGTACCTCTCGGTCCTCTCCTTGTTCCTCGCACATCCGCACCCGGGGGAGAGGATCGGCGAATAAGAATATCTGACGGAACGGTTGATTGGATACGGCAGTTCGATCTTCCACATGCGACCGTCTAAGAAGCGGTGAATGCTCCGCTCGAGTGTCATCTTTGTCATACGTAACGTACGTATCAGCGTATGTACATAATAATGTAAGCACACAAAAGGGTGACTTTGAAGCTGAGGTCAGAATATTAGGTATTAGAGTATATACACATTGTTTCCCCTGTATATGTAGTAGTGGTAATATCATATCATACATAGATGACTCGGTGTAGGTAGGTCGTCACATTTTCAGCTATGAACTTGAATGGAGGATATTCCCAGACAAGTTATTTCTGCAGAGTTGACATCAATATCACGCGAATAGGTTGAGGGGAGTTTGGGATGAGTTTCCAGTCGAGTGGAACAGAAGACGATTAAGGTCGAGATCATCAATTAGTATCATAGACCTACCCGTTTAAGCCTTCAATTTCGTCATAAATGCGGAACTGCGCCCATTTGTCGCGGGGTTTGCCAGCTGGGTACCTATTACAGATCCCTAGAAACCTTAGAAAGCATCGTTCTGGATCAGAGATCACTTTCGAGGTCGATGGGGATTTGCGGTGTTCTAATACTTAAGGGCCTATAATACGTGGTCTCTAAGCCTCTCTTTTACCGTAAACTAGGTAGTTAGACACTGTTGTATAGCTATGTTACTGCTATGTAAGGTGGAGGTGAAGTCGTAACGTAATGTCGCACGTAAGGCTTACGACGAGGATAGAATATGGGGTTGAACAACATGGGATTTCTTGCATACATATCGAATATCCCCGGTCTACATATCGTCCCGCATATTACGGGCATATTATTATGTATGGGTGACCAGGCAACTGATATACGTAGACCGAAATAAATCATATGCGGGTGCCATCCGGTTGCTGAGTTATACAATTATACTACGTTGTCGTAGACGTTTCAATATAGAAGTAAGCCTAATGTTATCTATCACTCCTTGTCTTAACCTATCACTTATAGTCGGGAGGGTGGGAGAGCTACGTAGGTGGATAGGGGCTAGTAGGTTGATACTGCATACGTAGGTAGCTTTGGGTTGTGGTGATAGCCTATCTACCCGAAGATATGTATGTATCATGGTGGTTGGTTTGCTCGATTCTCAAAAGGCGAATAAAAATGCCCGAAGCCGAATATTCGGTAACTTCTTGTTCCTGCTTTCAGCTCGGCGTCGCAAGGCTTCGAGAACGAAAATTGCCGCGTCAGCTGAACCTCGAAACGATATACGAAAAGTCCCAACAATGTTTAACAAGCATAACAAGCCCCAGCATTTTAATTAAGCCTTGCCTGCCCGTTTAGGTAATGAGGCCCTCGAGGCCGACGATGTTTGTGGGTTCGCACACGGACTGCCAAGCCTCGAGGCCATCCACAAATTCCTAGCGTACGTAGTATGTAATTAT